GAACAATGTGTTATATGATTCACTGTAATATGTATTCTTAATAAAGTGTGTAGATTTTTAAATAATTGGTAAAATAATAATAAATAATTTTATTGCAGTATGAACAATGTGTTATATGATTCACTGTAATATGTATTTTTAAGAAAGTGTGTAGATTTTTAAATAATTGGTAAAATAAAGACTATATATTTCTGAGATTTTCGCAGGAATCTCGCCATTTTTTCGCATTGAAGCACACGTAAGAAAAGTCGCACGAAGTAAAAATTAAATTAAATTAAATTAAATTTTGTAAATATAAATATATTACTATAATTCATTCCCAAGAAGAGTAAAATAAAAGTCGCTGATATAGTCGAAAAAACGATTGGAAATCGAAAAATGTTACTTGTGCATTTTCTATGAACATGACAGAATCATGAATGTGAAAAAAGAGTTGTAAGAAGTAAGTAGCTTTATTATAAAACTATAAAAAATATTTTATGATAAAACGTGGTACACGTATAACTAAAGATATTCACTATCGTATGTTGGATTCGTCAATTCTTGCGACAGTTATTAAACGATGAAAGTATACAAAAGTCTGTGCAATTAATGCGTTATAATTTGTCTAGATTTGGATAAAATATAACGAGCATTTGCCTGACGGTGACGAAACTTCCAGAAGAAGGTGCGCGCGAGAAATGACTGGAAATAGAATGATTTGGGGTACAAAGACACGGAAGATCCCGCCGCGGCGTTAGAGGGAGGAGAAAAAGAGAACCGGCGCGAGGAAGAATGGAGTTGACGGGGCGAAAATCATGGAGACCGGAACCGGAAACGAAGCTCATCGTTATACACCGCCGTGACGTCACTCACCGGAGAGAATCGTGGATTTCTTGGAAGAATTCTGCCCGTCGGAAAAATGAACTGGCGAAGAACCAGCGGGAACGAAATATTCAACGAAAATCTAGAGTCGTCGAACCGCAGATCTTATACATTTTATACGTTGTTATTTTACAGACGAAGTACCCAAATAATTTTGTTTCATTTGTATTTCTTATTTCGATGTTTAAGTCTATAATGTTTTATGCTACATCGAAAAAAGTTTCAGTATCATAAAACATAATTATTTTGATAATCTAAAACGAAGTACTTTTTGTCTACATTATAAATATACATTCGATGTAGTTCTTTAACGAATAATTCAAGAGATAATAAATTTCATTTGTGTATCATGATTTCTTACGTTATCTCGTATCACGTTACGTTTGTCATTTGCGCAATTTATTTTCAGGTTGAGAACTATGGGAAGTATTCTATTTTATGCTTGATGCTATCAAAATAACAAATATTATACTTTATGTTTTAGATTATCAGAATAAAAAGTATTTGATGTTTCGAATTATCAGAATGAAAACTATTTTATATTTCAGATTATCAAGATAAAAAATATTTAATTTTATGTGTTATCAAAATAAAATATTGCTTTTCATGTTTACCATTAGATCAACAAAATAAACAATTTAATTTTACGTTTTACAATATCGATATAAAGTATTCATCTCGTGCTTCAGGCTGCGGATTAACAAAATAAGATATTTTATTTACTGAAATTTTATGTCCTATTTGGAATGCTATTTTATTCGAATTGCGAAGAATCTATTATTTAAAATACGTTCTCTGTAAGCTCTACTTACAACACAGAATAAATTCAGCAAACATAGTCGAAAAGGGATTGATCTCCCAGCAAACCTACAGCTAAATAATTTCCTATCACCGCGCAGGGTTCGACGTCGCCGAAATTTCGACGGAGCACGCACCATGCACGGAAGCACGCGAGCTCATGCCGAAAAAGAAGGGCGACGGAGCTCGGGAAAAAAAAGGAAGAAGAGGGACGATCGATGCAAAGGGCAGAGAGACGTCAGGATTTGGGATTTTCGCACGTGTTTCCAGGCCCGTCCACGCGATTCCCGTAATCCCGTGTGGCCGTTCTGTCCCCCCCTTTCCCTCCCGGCGAGCCTTGCGCTCGAGATTTCTTTCTTCGTGTAAAAGGAAACGGAATTGAAATCGGCTTTTCGAAATTGCGCGGGCAACCAGCCCCGCGACCGGGTCTCCCTACACAGAAGAAGGGAAAATGCAAACACGGCTTTGCTGACCGGGCAGCTCCGAATCGAGACACCCTGGACGATACACCGTGGATTTACAAGGGCCTGAGGGTCGAATATATCGTGCCCTTTCGATTCCCACCCTCTCAGATGCGAATCGAAAGCAAACCTTCGGATCTTTTAACTCGGACCATCGCTCTGTTTCGGTACAAGGGATGTTTTAAGTGGTCCATTCTGGAGGAAGAATTCTTGTTGCCTTGACTGATTTGATTAATACTGGAATTACCGAGCCAATTAATGGGTCCAATGTATTATGAAACATAGAATAATGCTAAATCAATTATATTGTAATTTAATTCCGCTATTTAATTATATTCTATTTCAATTACATTTTTTTTGTATTACAATTACAATTCGATTATTATAATGCATACCTTCCAGTTAAATCAATTGCTAATTATTTTAAATTTATATTACTATTATATTATTATATGTATATTATATATTATATTATAAATTTATTTGTAAACGAAGTGCAATTTAATTCAAATATTGAAATACAATGTAATTTGAATACTGAAATACAATGTAATTTGAATACTGAAATACAATGTAATTCAATTTGAAATACAATGTAACACAATTATTGAAATACAATATAATTGAAATATTGAAATACAATGTAACACAATTATTGAAATACAATATAATTGAAATATTGAAATACAATGTAACACAATTATTGAAATACAATATAATTGAAATATTGAAATACAATGTAATTCAGTTATTAACATACAATGTAATTCTTCTGGATATAGGGTAGATTTCCTATTGTGTCTGATGGAATGGCTACAGATTCACGTTAATCGCCAAGGACTGAATTAAATGTTGATTTCGAATTAACGAAATATGTGTTGAACTTGTTTTCACTTGATTCTTAAGAGGAAATTTATGTCATTCGAACCATCGAGGTACAACCTCTCGAGTATGTACAGAAAGTAAAACATACAAATGAATTCCAGCCTTTGATATCGATTGATAAGTCTGATTCAGAATTGACAATTGTAGATGAAGATTTTTCTTAAACACAGATGAGAATTTATTAGAATATTGAAGAGAATCCTCGGGGAACTAGATCTTATATTAAATATTAAGATAAACAAAAAATTCGTACTGATATTCTGTACAGGTATTTACACAAATGTGTACTCATCGATGTATGAATATAATAAGGAAGTTTAAATTATTCTTAGAAGTTCTTCGTGTTAAAGAAGAATTAAAAATAGAATTGAAATTAAATTGTTAATAAACTTTTTGCAATAGAAAATAGTGGTATGCAGGGGTGGAAAGAAGTGTATTGAAATGAATAGTGGCGTCCTCGTACGGAATCGCATTCAAACATATCCTAGAACAGTGTATTAGTTATGATCTATTTGTTTTAATTAAAAAGTTATTAGTCTCTAAACGTTCTAAAATGTATCTTAAACG